TTGTCAGTCAAAAGGATGAGATGTGATCACATCAAGAATCAATTCAGGCCTTGCAGAAGATATTCCCAAACAGAATGCAATTTCCCTGAAGGAAATGCCTTTATAACAAGAAGAATTAACAAATCAATAGAAGAACTGTTTAATTTTCTTGCCATTAGTTCAAATTCATGTTCTCTGCAAAGAATGTGTGAATGACAATCACTGAGCAAAGCAGAATCTCATTCATATTACAGTTGCCAATCAAAGCTACAAAGCTACAACATATATTCAGCTGAGGTCTTTGGTAGATATCTACAATATAGAGGTCCATAACAAAAAAACGAATTAGATCATAATGAAATAAACTTTTATTTTTTATTTGAATATAAGTTAGTCAACCTTTCTCTGTTACAAGTATTTTAAAATAAAAAAAAATGTATAATAGTGTGATTTTCTTGGAAAAGGTGCATCTTCATTAATTTCTTATGAGCTCTGCTTGGTTTAATCCCAATTATCCAATTAGACAGTGGATATTTGTTTAAATCTTGGAAAGGCTTTAAGATCAGACAGGCAGATATAAATTATCACGTGTTTCTAATTTCTTCTACATGGCTCACCTGATTGCTTATGTAATATTCAAACACAATTTTCTCTCATCTAAAAAGACAGATCATTGCTACTTTGTATTGTGTCAGGAATACCCTGAGGGAAGTCTTGCCTGGACCTCTCCAGTCCACCATCACAAACACATAATCATTTCTCTTTAACTTCAGTGTCCATGGGATGGAACAGAGATGAAGTGAATGCTGAACCCACTGAAAAGACTGGCTGAATTCCTTTCCTACATCCACACCCCTCATAGTGAGTATGGGTGCTGATTTTCAAGACCCTAATTTTGTGCATTACAAAGCAATTGTGTATTTTGTTAATTCCAACTGAAATCAATGTTCTTGAGAGGTGCTCGGTATATCCCAGAAAAATGCTCCCCCAGAATGCTGGGACTTTTTTCCACATAGGGCTGACTGCCCCCACAAACAGCAGGGTTTACACTTTGTGGGCATAAATTATTGGTTAGGAAAAGAAGTTTGTATTCATTTTAGAAATACATCACAGGCAAACTGCCTTGGAAGCAATTTAGCATTCCTACTAGTTAAACTGCTGGATTACTTCTAAGTGCTATTTGGAGGGCACATTTTGCCTAGCAACAAGTGCCAGATGTCATTCCATTTCCTGCACATACAATAGAGGTCCATAAATTACTTCAGGTTTAAGCATTCTGGAATTATAGCTGCTGCTCAGAATTTATTTAGTCACGAAATACAAATCTTGCATACAAATACTTTATATAATCTCTTTACACAGATGAACACATCTAAAGATAAACACGTGAGGGGTTTTTGGTTTGTTTTTTTTTTTTTTTCTCCAAATGCTTTTGGCTTCTCATAGGAAAATTTACATTACTTAGAGATATTTTTCAAGGGCATGAGGCAATAGGACAAGAGACAACAGCTAGAAACTAAAAGACAATAGATTTAGATTAGAAATTCAGAAATAAATCGTTACAGTAATGGCACTGGAACAGGTTGCCCAGATGTGGATGCTCCATCCTGGGAACTGTCCAAGGCCAAGCTGGATGGAGCTCTGAGCAATCAGATCTAGTGGAAGATGTCCTTGCCCATGGCAGGGGGGCTGGAACTAGATGATCTTCAATGTTCCTTCCAATACAGGCCATTCTATGGTTTTGTGATATTAGCAAAAATACATTGAATAACACATATTTAAAATGAGAAGCCAATATACTAACATACCTAGATTCCAAAGAGACTGCAACAAACAGAAAACTATTAAAAAACTTAGCATGTAAAGTAGAAAATATGTCAGGGAATAACCAAATACTAATTTTTATTGGTGTACTTAGAGTTTGAAGATCACTCTAGGTGAAAAATAGTACCTGGTAGCAGAAACCAAAAAAACTTTAGTATGAGAAGCACTGGCAGAAAGAGTATTCCTTAGCAAAGACAGGGAGTATTGATCATAAACAAAGAATTTGAAAATATTTTAGGGTGAATATTCTGCATGAAAGTAGATATCTTGAAAGAATAGAGGTCTGAAAACTCCTGTAATCAAAAAGAAAAGAAAACAATATTTAGAAAATGTCACCTAGGTGGCCCATGGGATCTGGATACTAGCTTTTGTATTAGGTAGGTGGGTATTTAGTTCTTCAGTGATTGGAATGCAAGATCATAGTGGAAAGGATACCACATTATTTGCATGAAGTGAAAAGAAAGTTGCCCAGGTGGTGGAGAAAAATGTAGGAAAAACACTCAGGAAAGAAATAAGTTCTAAACAGAAGTGAACTGCAGGACTGTGCTCCTCCCTAATACTAAGTTATCAAAAATTCATTATAATTTTGTCTCCATACACAACTTTTTATCAAGGATATCATGTGGAAGCAAAGGTAGTGAAACCACCTAAAAGAATTTAAGTTTATCTTTTATCCCAGATAATGCTGTGACATTTCTCTTCAATTTGAGAGATGATACCTCCATTGGGACCTATGATAGAGCAAGATGCCAATTTTGAGCAGAATATTTCCAGGTCTATCAGACTGGAATTTCTCATCACCAGACAAATAATGTTATTATTCTGAAGTAAAAAAAAAATTCCAAAGCAACAAATAAACCACATTCCCCATCCCCAGCCCCCTGCTAATATTTAGTGTTAACTTAAGTATTTATTGCTCTTCAGGTAATATGTGTTTCATTATAATTTTTTATAAAAAATATAAATAATAGTTTGTGATATTACTAAAGCTGATAATCTAAATAAAAACAAGCACTAGCAGGGAGAGTACACAATATCCCACTCAGCATTTTAATTGTGTATCTGGTGCTTAATTTCTCCATGGATGTTTAAAAGAACAGTGCATAAAGCTTTTGAAGACAGAGCTAAATATTATACATTGTTCTTCTGGCATTAAGCAAGTCATAAAGGTTAGCTGTACGTTTTGCCAATGCTCTTTCAGACAAATCATTTCCACATACAGATATGTACATCACCCCATACATATAAAATATAGGTACAGATTTACCTATAAAAATAAATATACTTTAATTAGCATAAAAAAGTATATATTTGGCAAAGATATTGCAAGAAGAATATGAAATCACTAAAATGGTAGAGTAAAACATATTTACCATTCTACATGCTGCCATAAAATGTCAAAATAATTTTTAAAGTCTGTAAAAATATATTAGGAAAATAACCCTTCACCACACATGAATAATGGGTAAAGCAGAAATATGTAGTGGGTCTGCTTAAAATTCTCTTGAAACAGAAAGTAGGCATTTTTTCAGTACAAATCATCAGCAGATTTCAAGAAAAGCAACTAGAGCAAGTTGAGTTTTGCTCTTTTTTCTTAGCACATTCTTTTTCAATCTTTCACTTTTGCAATGACTTCTTAAACTACCTTTTCTTTGGAAGGAAATTGAGAGATCAAATGTGAATGGCAACAGGATCTTATTATGCATACTTTTTTATTTATTAATTCAATATAGGAAGTCTTTTCCTTTTTCACACAATGGCTGCCTTGAAAGAACAATGCAATTCAGTTAACTTGCATTTTAAACTGATTTTTTGCCTCCTCACTTTCCAAAAGAGAAGTGCATTGAAAACTCAAGAATTTCTGATCTAGAAGTTGTAGTTAGAATGTTGTGAGAAACAACATCAAAGACTTTACTGAAGTCCAGACATGCAATAACCACAGCCTTTTTCCCTCATCTGCGCATTGGGTCACCTTGCTACAGAAAGAGATCAAGTTGGTCAAGCAGGACCTGCCCTTCCTAAACCCATGCTGGCTCGGCCTGGTCCCCTGTTTGTGCTGGGCATGCTGGTGATGGCACTCAGGATGATCTGCTCCATGACCTTCCCCAGCCCCAAGGTCAGACTGACAGGCCAGCAGTCCCTCACATCTTCCTTCCAGCCTTTCTGGTAGATGGGCATCACATTTGCTGAGTACCAGTCAACTGGGACTGCCCTGGTTAGCCAGGGCTGCTGGTAAACAATGGAAAGTGGCTTGGCAAGGAACTCTTATGTTCTTTGACTCTTTGAAGTGCTTTTCATCTGTGTTAGTACGGGCAGTCTTGCAAAATAGCTCCAGACCTTCCAGCAATAGCATATAACAGGTCAGGATGGTTTAGGTTGGACTACACATGGGAATATGTGTAGGAGTAAGTAGTATCGAAATACTCTCTCTTTTTAAGAACAGCAATACCATTAAGACTTTCAGATTGTAAATTGCAGAATGCTGAAAGCACAGAGCTGGATACTCAGCTTGTTTCGAACAGGGATGAAGGTGTGATTGAGATGCAATAATCAAATTTTTCCATACATTTGTAGCAGCTAATGGAGACTAAATTCTTAACCAAGTTATAATACCTTTTTCTTTGTGCTTTAAGCTGTTACAGTATGCATTTTCCCATCCCATACTGCACAGCCAGAATCACTCCCTTTTACCATTTCTGGCAAAAATAGATCAGTGAGAAAATTCTTCTAAACATATTAACCCACTTAGAAGGAAGGGAATACCAGGACTTGAATAAAGATGTCTGCATGATCCTGTGCTGACCTGAACACAGGAGACCTCCCACATGCTATTAAGCTACAAAGCCAAGGTGAAGTCATACTTCCTATGCCATGGCTTTCACTTGCAGTGAAAGCTTTCAAAATAAAAAAAATAGTCTTGTTGAAATCAGATTTCATCCTTAGGATCTTGTGTCACCCACGTCCCAGCACATTCTGTCCTGGTACTCTAGCTCAGTCTCTCTGAAGCACAGAGAAAGGACTAAACACCAGGGAACAAAAACCACGCTATTTTCAGGAGCAGTTTCCACCCTGATTTCACCAGTGCAGAATAGAAACATCTCTCACAACTCTAGCTTTCCATTTCTGTTCCAAGAATTTACTTATCCGATGGTCTGAAAGTGCCATGAGTGCCATTTGATGCATAGTAACTTTACAGGCTCCCGGAAGAAAGAGAGGACAGGCTATTCTGCAGAGCATCTTCCTTTGCCAAAGTCAAGAAATTTTTGTTTCAGATGAAAATGTGAGGTCTTACACCAGTAAGAAAAGCTACAAGGGCTGTACATACTGATTTGACCTGTCATCTGCATTAGCGACTTTCTACAAATGATTTGGTTTTTAAGGTAGGTGTTTATTGTCTGGATCAGTCACGGGTTTTTGCACAAGACCCTGCAGCTATCAGTAATTTTCAGGCCTTGCAAACTCTTGCAGGACATATAGGAACCTAAGGCTTGGTACGACTCTTCATATTCGTAGCTTTTCTCATCTTTTTAGAAAAAATTTGCAATTTTAGACAACATTTAATTTTCCAAGTATTGAACCAGCAAAATAATTCCATTTTAACATGCCATGGAAATCAGGTAAATCCAACATTAGATGTGTTTTAGAGAAGACAATTGTTCCAGTGAAGTGAGTTTCAATTAAAGCATCATTGGTGGTTTTTTGAATGTTTTAAACTTCCAGCTGTTTGTATTTGTCCTTACTGGTTTGGACTTTGTCTTTTCCTACTAAGCTTCTCCTCTGCTGAGTGGAATGAATGGCAATATGGAGATTAAAGTAGAAACTCAGTCCTTCGCATGTCACATCAGTGGGAATGTCTGCTTACATAAAATTACTAGCCTTGGGTGTCAAAGATGTCCAGATGTCATCACTTTAACAAGATCTCTGTAAGTCCAAAACAGGAAAAGACTACAAGGGAAAAATTTCTAATGCCAGATGTGCAAAAATGGACAAGTCTGAATGTCCTGCTTAAAAAACCAATAGAACTCTGACATTCAAAACATCTTTGCTTTGCTTTACATTTAAATTTTTGTCTCAGGTAAGGCTTTCTATATAACTCTGCTTTGCTATTTTTCCTCCAGATGTTAAAATAAATCTCCCAGATTTCTATAGAATTGCACCATATGACTTCCTGCTGACACTGAATTGAAACATATAGTATTCTCCTCTACAGTCTTCAAGCTATAATAATCTTCCATGGCACTCTCCCATCTCAGCAGTCTAATATCAGCGGATATTTCTTTAATAGTCTAAAAATTAGCATTTAAAATGTTAATTGCTTCCTGACTAATGATGAAAATTACGAGTTAAATGTGCAAGAATTATTTATAAATTGCAACGGCACACTAATTTTCTCTTCATCTTATAAAAATACAGCAGCCAATGAGGAATTTCAGAGCAATTAGTAAGGTAGACTACACAAATCTGTGCAAGTCAAGCTTTTGTAGTTTGCACTCCATGCTTTTTTGGTCTCTAAGGGTAAAGAGTGTCAAATTTCTTCACCTAAGAAAACCTGCTAGATAAATTCACTGATAGTGGTTTTCTAAAACTTCCAAACTGCATCATTAACTTCTGCAAGAAATCAGCAAGGAAAATTGTAGTAGTTATAGTGGTATCAAGTTTAACATGCAAACATTACCACAAACAGTGGCACAATTTAGCAATATATATTTTTCTTTTCCCATTAGTTCTAACACTTAGAATTTACTTAGTTTCACACACTGGAAGATGAATGAAGCACCTCATTTTCAGTGTAATACAGATTAGTTAACACAGTTCCAACAAATTAAAATACATACATACCTATATAATATTACTGCATTGCACAGGAAAAAAAAAAAAAAAAAAAAGAAAAAAAAAGAAAAAAAAAGGAAAGGTATGTATACATTTTCTTCTCAACAAAGTGAGAAACTGGGTTTTTAAGAAGTCCCTTAAACTGGCTTCTTTGGATTCCCAAAATATTTCTACAGCTGTGGCTCTGTGTTTCTGGCTCTCTGTTCATTGCCTTGAAAGCCACAAAACTTAATACTTTTCTCCAAGTCTTAGTCTGAGACTCCATCCAAGAAATACCTGCAGCACTGCCCTACTAGGAATGAATCCTGAGCACTCACACTTCAATATCTTTCAAAATCCAGAGATTAATTATTTCTCCTGCTTCAATTCTAGTAGGATGCAAGATAAAACTACAGCTGACCCAATGTAGGGGATAGAAAAATCCACAACTTATTTAAAAAAAAAAAAAAATCAAAGTCAATACCTTTAAAGACCAATAGTAAGGTGAGAGAATAAGATAAATACAGAAGACATGTAAACAAGATAGTGATAGACAATTAGGAGATAAAAATAAAATGCTACAGTGACATTTTACAGATAGTTTTAAAAAGCCAGATTAATTTTTAGTGTCATACTCCACTTCAGTGCCTCTGCTGGCCCCAAGTTATCACTTTGGCAAGAAACTGGAGCTTTTTACAATAACCTACTTTTAGACTGCAGATGTACTGTAGACTGAATTAATTCATCATCAGTATTCATTTATACTAAAGCGCCTATGCCTAGAAGTGGAACAGGGAGGATGTTTTTAAAAAAAGAAAGAAAATAGTCTGAAAAAAAGAAAGATAGCATGAAGGTTTTTGTATGCTGTTTAAAAAGTAAATTAAAGCTGCATTTGCTTGTTTGTCCATCACTTTTTGCAGCAGTCATGCTAAGGGCACAACTATTTCCATAGCACCACAAGGAACATATTTTCACATTGCTAACATATTTTTGAATAATTGCTCCATTGTATTAGGAATAAAGCATTCAAAAGTGGCAACACAGGGTTTCTTTCATCTTCCTTAAATCTATCAGACCCTGCTTTTCTATCCATGGATAGCTCACTAAATATTGCAGCACAGCACACATTTATGTACAGATGACATGGGAGTGCTGCCAAGTCACAGAATCATAGAACGTTAGCATTTTTATGGTTGAAAAAGGTCTCTAGGATCATGGAGTCCAAATATGATACCTTTCAAACAACTTAAAATACTCATCTGAATTAATTTTAAAGGCAGATCAATGGCAAATAACTGAACTGAGTTTCATTATAAAAAAGCTGAAACAAGCCTGTAGGTCCTCACAAAATCTTTTCTAGCCTTCCTGCTTTTTCACTATGTAGCATTTACATAAATCTTTAGCTACCACAGTTTAGAAATTGTCTGCTGCCCAACAGTTTTATGGACAGGCAAGTCGTGGTTTGTAGGTCTCGGACGAAGTGTCCACTCAGCCGTGAAACACACAGGAACTTTGCATGCACTATGCTGCAAAACAGGAGAGAAATAGCAGGTGGAGTCATGAAGATGGATGTTCAGTGGATGTAACCAGATGAATGGTCTGGCTATAACAAACCAGGCTAAGGAATTACATGCTGAAGAAATTGCCTAAATCCCTTAAAATCCCATTCATACCAAGCCTTGCCACCTGGTGTTGGCATTTGAAAAAGAATCTGCATCAGAAGAGATTAATATTGCCTCTGGGGCCAGTCAAATTTATTCTAGCAAAATAATGTGAAACATATAACCCTCCCTGAGAGCATTTATAAGAATGAGACAATAGAGATCAAAATTTGAATATCCAGCAGGATTATGTTACTCATCTTTGTCACAGGAAATAAGAACTCACTATAGAAATCATGATAAAAAAACAAGAAAGTAAGCACAATCTAAAAGGCCATGATCATTATAAACAGACCTAATTTGTAAAAGCAAATGTGGGCATAAGGCACTCAGCTCCCCTTGCTTTTCCAAGAACAGCTCCCTGTGTTTTTCCAGGAACAGCCACAGAAAAGAACAGTGTAGGTGTACAGAACAAAATTATTTGGAGCATTCTGTCAATAGAAAATGATCAATTGATAGGGCACTTGGTTGGAAAATATTAGCAAATTGTAACCATCTGTGATGTTGAGAATGCATGACCATATCTATTATTCCTTGTCAGTGTGCTCAGAGTAGATAATATTCTTGACAGAGCTGGGTATATTTTACAGGCATTGTATATTACCATGATATTTGTTCTTGATCAGCTTTATTCAAAGAATTACTATTGGAACTTCTTCACATTCAGCCAGTTAGTTTTTCTGTAAAGCTATTTTACTTTTTCAGCATACAGCATGCATTGAGAAATGCCGTCAGATGTCCTGGGGTTTTCTCTTGGGCCTCGGTGGCTGCAATTACAAGAATTTACATACAGTACTACACTGAGATACATTTTGTGCAAATACTGTCAGAACATAATGCCTTCCAGGACAGTAAGTATCACAGTTATTAGAGTTTGGACAGCACATGTCATCATACTGATTAAAATTTTCAGCTATTTTGTATGCTACGTGAAACTAGAAAGAAGTTATTTTTATTTTTAGTTTAACTGAGTAAGTTATACTACGTCCAGACTTTTCATTCCAGTCACCTGTGCTCTTTCAGTAATATTCCAAGATGAACTTCCAGTGAATAAACATTGACTCTTAGAACATTTGAATTATTGCCTTTATCATAAAAATAAAATCAGGGAAAAAAAATGGCATTAAGGAATTTGAGTCAATCTGCCAAGAAAAGCCAAGTCATAAGGCAAATGAGGAGACAGCTCTGAAGCTGGAAACACATTTGTCTGAAGTTTCTGCCAAATAACCAGATGTTTCTGCTACACAAGTGCACCCAAAACTCAGCACAGGAATCCTACCAGTACTTACTATAGTACAAAATTAATGACCAGTGTTTAGTCAAGGGAAAAATGTTCATTTCAGACCATGCTTTCATTTTTTCAAGCATTGTCAAGAAAGTTTAGAATAATTACAGGAGAAAGGAAGTTACCAAACAACTAATTGATAAATTCATCTTTAATTCACTGTAACCACTGTCACATGGTAAGAAGTAATTGAAACAGAAATCTATTTCTACAATACATAAAAAAGATTTCTGAGATGAAAAGTTGACCAGTTTTTATGTAGAGTAACAGGAATATTGAATGAACTCTAGACTACAGCATTTGCCTATGACAACTAGAAAATCAGTTGAGAGACTGATGACAGAGTAAGACTTTAGTCTTTGCAAAATCACAGCATTTAGTGATATATCAATAGTAATTGGCTTTGGATAAAATTCCAAGACACTGCCCTACAGCCATCCCAATGGACCAAAATTAGAAGTTCTGCCCTTAATTTTCGTTCTTGCTTTTCTCTGCATTGAAATAGTAGCGATATTAAAAAATTAAAGCTTCTAGTGGTCACTGGTGTGACTCGTTCACTGTTCTCTGCAGCAGTACTAGCTGAATATCTTTTGTTGGCAAAATATAACTAATAATGCTAAAACAG